TGTTGTTAATATCAAATTATAGTTTTGAAGGATGATTATAATAAAACTTATTATTTGAAGCTAAGTTTTTTTTTAAAATTATTTACAACTTAATTTTTTTAAATAAATATAAAATCAAAGAATATATTCTAAATTTTATTTTAAATAATTTAAGTAAAAAATTTATCTATATATATATATTTAGCTAGATCCTATTATATATATTTTTTATATAATTTTTTTTATTAGAATGGCTATACTAAAATCCTTGCATTGAATCCTATTATAGCTATATTTATAATATATATCTTCTTACTAAATAACAAAGTATAAGAACTTTGTTTGTTCTTTTTTCAAAAATATTTGCAATAAGAATCCTTTTATATTAATGTATATTTTGACTAAATTTTAATATTTTAAAAATCTTTTTCATTTCAATTAGAATTATACACTAATATTTTAATTAAAAAAATTATTAAATTACATATTCTTGCATAGAATTGAGAAATTTTCTATTAAAAATAATAAGCTTTTTTTAATCAAAGTAATAGATCAAGGTATATAAATAAAAGTAATAGCTTACATGATGCAATTCTACAAAATTATTTCCAAATTTTTTAAGACGATGAAGTTAAGTTTATTCAAATATATAAGGTTAATTATTCTAATAATTAAGATTCAATAAACTTTATATTTTAATAATATTTTTGAAATCATATATAGTATTAAATATTTTATTGGTATTTTTTTATAGAACAAAAATATTTTATTGGTTTTTTTATAGAATGAGTAAGTTGAAGGAATTTAAACTTTTATATCTAATGATTTTTTATACTTGAAGTAATCATATATAGACTCTACTTTTATATTTAATAAACTTAAAAATTAATATTTTAATCATAATTATTATTGACATTATTTAGGTAGGAAAATTAAGATGTCTTGAAGTTGATACAAAAATATCATATGAAAAAAATGATGGTTAATAACAAACATCTTCTTAGTTTTGGTGTCATTTAAGTTGTTTTTAAGCAATTCCAAATTCAACTATTTATTTCTTATTTTTTCATTTAATAAATTTTTATTGCACAATTATTTAATGTATTATTGAACATGTAAAATCTATTTCGACAAATACAGCCATTGTCTTTTATGTAGTCATTAGATGTGTAAATTCATATATATACTTTAATTCTAGCAACTGTTTCTATAATTTTTTGGAAGTGTAGGCCATCAATATGAGCCAAAATAGTAAAATTTAAATATTTTAGTAGAAAAATTGTGTTCAACATCCGATTCAAATTTGTATTTATGAATTTAAAAGTTAGTCCATACCATAATAAAAAAATAAACTTCATTTTTGTAACAAGTCTCCATTAATGTTTGGTAAGTGAATTGAACAGGGTTGTATCAAACACATGATTGCAGTCTGTCTTTGCATATCAAAGTCATAACAAACGTGATTTCTTTTTTTGTGCATTCTACCATATTTTGTCACTACCAATAGATGGGAACTATGAGTTGTGCTTTGCTACTTAATATAATTCAATAATAATTTATCTGTAAAAAAATCAAGTAATTTGGTATTTTGTTTTTCTACATCTATTTTGGTTACTAAAATATGCAGTAGCTAACAAAAAGTTATAAATTCAAAGCAAAGAATTTACAATTTGAAAACTACATTCCATATTAATGTGGTTTTAAAAAAAAACTGTAATTTGATAAGACAAATAGTTTAATTTATATTTTTAATACTTTTTAATTTCAGATATATATATATATATATATATATATAATTAAAATTATGACATAAATTTCCTTGATATTTATAATGTGTATTTTTTTCTTTAGATAATTTAATTTTTTCATATATATATATATATATATTTATTTATTTATTAAAGCTTGACAATGATTCAAAGTGGATCTATGAATGAACTCAATTCCACGTTATTCTATTGAATATAATTAAATAAAAAAACTTTTGATCCTTTAAGATTCAAATATATATATATATATATATATATGTTTGTAAAACAATTTCTCAAAAAATAGTTAATTTTTTAAAATATTTACAGATAAATATACTAACTCTAGATGAATTGACTATCTGATACCTGAGATATGCATAATTTTATAGTAATTTGAAAAAAAATATAGTATTTTTATCTCAATAAAATAGTAAACTTTGAAGAGTGATTTTATTTTCATTTTTTATTTTTTGGTCCCAATAAATTTAGGTTAAATATTTCAAATTTATAAATTTATAATCTTGAAAAAAAATACTTTTAAAGTTACAATAAACTTTTGATATATTTTGCTAGGAGAAATAACCAAATGATTATGTCTTAGTACATTCATGTTTAAGCCATTAAACAAATATGATTTTCAAAAAATTGTTAAAAGTAAAAGTGATCTCATTGTCATTTTATTTTTACAAGTTACAGGTTTAAAGTATGTTGTGTAAGCTTGTGATGATTTGCAGCACAAAGTAGTAGAAGAAACTTTCTATTAAGACTTTTTGTCTACAGTTTCAAATGATATTTTTTGCATCAAAGCAATATATGAAGAATGCTTGGTCAAATTTTACAGTAGCATTGAAAGTTTTTAGAAATAATCATAAATTAATGTTTTTGATTGCATGTGCAATTGAAATGTAACTTGGTTGAACTTGCACAAAAAAGATGTGCAATATGTGCAATGTAAACAAAAATAAGTAAAAAAGCAAGGAACATCAACATGACAACAATTGTAACATAAAATAGGAATAAAAATAACAGTGGATGGCAATTTATTTCTGAAACCCTAATATTTGCAACAATGATTCCATCACATCCTCCTTGTTTTCTCATGGACATACTCTCAAGGCACCAACCCATGTCCAAACATGCACTTTATTTCTTCTTCTTCTTCTTCTTACTTATATGTAAGTTTGAAAATAATAAACTTCTACCCCAAGTCTTTGTGTAAAGGCCAATTGGACGACAATATTATTGATAATTATTCTTATTTTTCATTCTCCTTATTCTTTGATACTTAATATTGAGTAACATTGAAATATCTTAAACTACCCGTAGACCTTGTCAAAAGCTGCCCTTGCACAAACCCAAAACTAACTATTCTTCTTGTAGTTTTATGTGTTTTTATGGACAGTTTTGGCCAAGTTGATGTGTTGGTTCAGGGGTTCAAAGTGCAATAGCCTTTGAAATTTTGTATCAATTAAACCACTATGGCTTTTGCAATGTTTTCTTTTTGAGCACATTAGAACTTTATTTCTCTACCATTTTTATTATTATTATTATTATTATTGTTGTTGTTTTTTAATTTCTAGACCCACACTCATAGACTGATGGGCTGACCAACTGGCTCCAGGCTGTGGCTTGAAGTGGGCAAGCACAGGGAGAATCAGAGCCCCATATAGAAATTAGAATAATAACAATAAATAATAAGAATGAGAAATAATAAATAATGAAAATGGATAAGAATGGGATCTATAATGGTGTGGGGCAGTGTGGGCATTGGTTGGGGGGGGTCCCCTCTCCTTTTTATTCATTTATTCGTCAATTTCTTTCTTTCTTTCTTTCTTTCTTTCTTTCTTTCTTTATCTTTCCATCTATTCTTCTGTCTGTGCCTGTCTAAATGTGTCACCAATCCCACTTGCAACATGTGGAACCCCATTCCAATATGAATGGTTTTTTTAATAACCAATCCACTCTCTACCAAACATTAAGCACTTGTTTATAATTGGGCATGCAAAGCATTTTCATTAGGTATGTGTCATTGGGTGTTTGTTGTTAGTTATGACATATGATATGATTGGATGTTTTGTTATATTTTTTAAGTCTAGTCTTGAGTGTAGATTATTTATTTATTTATTTAATTTTATGTTAAAAACTGGATACTACAGGATTACTTTTGTTGTTGTATATTGACTAGAACAACGAATGAAAAAATCATAATTTTAGTTAAGAGTTGTAAGTCTGAATAAATCGTGTTGTGTATATGATGGGAATTTTCTTTTCTCTTTTTTCTTTCTTCATATGGGCATGAATGCTATCTTTTTGATATCGAATTCCATAGAAAATCAATATTTACTTAAAGGTATGTCTTGTCTTCTTTTCTTTCTTTGTTCATTCATTCATTTTATTTCTATTTTATTTTTCCGTTAGAGCAGTTTTGCATTCACTGCGCTCATTTACAGATGAATTACTAATTTATCCTAATAAATCTTAATCACTTCAAAAGATTGTGAATCACTTACCTGGCAATTTTATTTTATGTTTCTATAACATTTTAAAGTAGGAAAGCATGTATCATGCTTCTTAAATGTATATAGTTTTTGAAATGTTTTCAGTACGCACCTCAAACAAGAACACCGAAGTAATTACATGCACATGTTTGTAATTTTGTGTATACTTTTTCTTATTATTAATAAGAAAATTACGGAGAATATTAAACTCATTTTTTTTAATTACATATACTATGTTACATTCTTATAATTTCTCATAATATTTTGCAATTCAAACTCCATATACCAAATAAATAAATAAAAAAAAATTATCACCAGAACATTGTATCTTTCATTTTTTAAAAAAAGTACACATGAAGTAATTCAAAATTAACTAAAACGTCTCTGAAAAAGAAAAAAAAACAAAACAGAACAAAAAACACAAAAATAAAATCCACCAGTAAGAGTTGCAGCCCTCTAATCACGGCTCCCACTCACTTTAACTTTCTCGCCCGAACTCACTTTAACTTTCTCACCATTCCTCCGTACCGCTTTTTTTTAATAAAAAATTTCCTGCCCGTTTTCCTTTTGAGATACTTTTTTCAGAATAATACTGCCCGAACTGCTCGATCAGGTCGCCATCTAGACTCCACGTCCGCTGAGTCCCTCAGAGTTCTCGGGCAGGAAGTCGAATACTAGCCGTGCGATGCAGGATCGGAAGGCGCAGAGACGGCGTGCGGAAGGGTGCCGCGGCGGGTGAGCTGTATAAGCATCGCCAAGGCTATTAACCCCCGAACCCTTTCTCCCTCTGCTTCGTTCATCTATCCCCCTCTCCCTCGTTGTCGCTGCTGCTGCTGCATCGTCCCCTGGCGGTACGCGCTCTTGTGCTTCCGCCATCGCTGCAACCTCCACACGCCCTTGCAGCTCGCCGCACAAGGTAAGTCTTCGTCTCTTTTGCGTCTCTGTGATGGCCGTGCCTGCCATGTCTTTTTTTATTTCTTGTTTCCTCTGAATATTCTTCCCGGAGGTGTGTGATGCGCTGTGTTTTAAGGGTTTAGAGAAGAGGTTTAGATAGCAAGGGAAGAGGTGTGCATGTGTGCGTGTGTGCTCCAAGGGGGTTTCAGTCATGGTTTTTCTTGCAAATCGAGGAGTGTACGTGAATATTGTGGGGATGCTGCGTGCTAAGGTCTGGAAATTGTGTTTTCTCGGGAAAGACAGTGAGTGTGGACGGTTCGGGGTTTTTCAGTACGACGCCTTACGACGACTCCAGGAGGCGTCCTGGATCAGTTTATTCATACGTGGTTTGTTAGTTTCTGACATAGGTTTTCTCTTGTGCGCCTTCACTCGGGCGGAATTACGAGCGCACGTTCTTAGTGAAAATGATAGTTCTACCGTCATATGGCTGTTAAGTAGATAGATCGAAAGTTAAGTGTTGGTTGAATCTGACAATGAGATCAAGGACTCTGCATTTGTTGAACACTTCTTAAAGATCCTTAAAGTGTTTCATATTAAACGATGTTCATGCTAAGTTTTACCTAAGCGTTTAGAATTACCAACCCCAGCAGATGTTAGTTGTGATGCTAGAAGGATGATCGTGCTATTGCACGATTCTAAGTAGACATTGCGTTGAGGGGACATTTTACTCCGGTTTTCATTGGGGCAGCCCCTTAGCCAAACTTTCTGTCTGAAGAACATGCATACGATGTGGTTTACATGCTCAGATGGAGACATTTCTTTTCACCTCCGAATCCGTGAACGAGGGTCACCCCGACAAGCTGTGCGACCAGGTGTCGGACGCCATCCTGGATGCGTGCCTGGAGCAGGACCCTGACAGCAAGGTGGCTTGCGAGACGTGCACGAAGACGAACATGGTGATGGTGTTCGGAGAGATTACGACGAAGGCGGTGGTGGACTACGAGAAGATCGTGCGCGACACATGCCGCGAGATTGGGTTCACGTCGGACGATGTGGGACTGGATGCAGACAAGTGCAAGGTGCTGATGTACTTGGAGGCGCAGAGCCCGGACATTGCCCAGGGTGTGCACGGGCACTTCACGAAGAAGCCAGAGGAGATCGGCGCGGGCGACCAAGGACACATGTTCGGGTATGCGACGGACGAGACGGAGGAGCTGATGCCACTGACGCACGTGCTGGCGACGAAGCTGGGCGCGAAGCTGACGGAGGTGCGGAAGAACGGGACGTGCGCGTGGCTGCGGCCGGACGGGAAGACGCAGGTGACGGTGGAGTACAAGAACGAGGGGGGTGCGATGGTGCCGTTGAGGGTGCACACGGTGCTGATATCGACGCAGCACGACGAGACGGTGACGAACGACCAGATCGCGGCGGACCTGAAGCAGTATGTGATAAAGCCTGTGATTCCGGAGAAGTACATGGACGAGAACACGATTTTCCACCTGAACCCGTCGGGGCGGTTCGTGATCGGGGGGCCGCACGGGGACGCGGGGCTGACGGGGAGGAAGATTATCATCGACACGTACGGGGGGTGGGGAGCGCACGGAGGAGGCGCATTTTCGGGGAAGGACCCGACGAAGGTGGACAGGAGCGGGGCGTACATTGTGCGGCAGGCGGCGAAGAGCATCGTGGCGGCGGGGCTGGCTCGGCGGTGCATCGTGCAGGTGTCGTACGCGATCGGGGTGCCGGAGCCGCTGTCGGTGTTCGTGGACACATACGGGACGGGGAAGATTCACGACTCGGAGATATTGAAGCTGGTGAAGGAGAACTTCGACTTCAGGCCGGGGATGATGTGCATCAACTTGGACTTGAAGCGAGGCGGGAACAGGAGGTTCCAGAAGACGGCGGCGTACGGGCACTTCGGGAGGAACGACCCGGACTTCACGTGGGAGGTGGTGAAGCCGCTGAAGTGGGAGAAGACGGAGGCGTAGAGGGAGTGGGAGTGGGATTGGGAGTGGGATGATGTAGGGATATGATGAGGGGACGGGGTGATATGAGCTCCCCCCTGTGTGTAGCGTGCGGTGCGGTGGGAAAGGGAAAGCACGGACAATATTCTTTTCTGTTGGCGGTGGCTGTGATGGTGTGATCGGGTGATGGTGTGATCGGGGAGGGAGATAGAGAGCGGGAATGGGAATGTGGGGGTGAAGGGGGAGGTAGGGAGTAGGTGGTGTATGGCAACTGCATGATGAACAGAAGGTTGATGATTTTTGATGACGCTGGATATTGTATGGTAATTGGAATGGAGAGTTGGGGTGCAGTCGGCGAAGCCGGGTGTGCAGGATTGAATAGTGGTGCGATGGTGTCCACCATTATTGATCGGAGAACTTTGGTTGACATGGTTTGTATGAGTTGCGAGTCTGAGTTACAACTTTTCGTAATGTCGTTGTGTCTTTGTGTGTGTATGCTAGGTATATGCTTCTCTGTAGTACATGCGAGTGCTCTCGTAGTGTGCAGTAGTGCCATGTCTAGACTGTTGAATGAGAACGTATTGCTTCTATGATGATATATGGGCGAATGAAGTGGAGTGGGGAGCAGTATGCCGCATTCTTCACCCCGTCACCAACACTTTCAATGTAAATAAAGTTGGACTATTTTGGTTATTCCACTGAATAATTATTTTTCACGCAAAAGACAAGATGACAAGCATGATTTGTTATTAACAGAATGTCGTTAAATATAATATTTAATCGTAATGGTTATAATTATATTATGTAATTTATACACATCCTCATTTCTTTATTCAGTAATTTCCTTATACAGACTCTTCTGTAGCGAAATAACTTTCAGCACCTCACAAATCATACGTTCCGATAATTGCAACGTTGGGTTTAAATTGGTAATGACATACACTACACCCTGGAAATTATTATTCATTGCGTGGCAAATTAATACGGCATGTTCCTGTCAAGGACATTTCTCTTTGTCCCTATCCTTCTAGTATAGATGGTTGCAACAAAATTCTCAATGCTAAGTAAACCTTTCCAGCTGGAATTGATTAGCATGTGACCATCCTCGATTAACCTTGAGAGGAATTTTCGCAGCTGTGCTTGTGAATTTGGACGAGTGTACAAATTCTTACACGTGTGGTTGCATTTATACATGACAGAAACAAACGTCCCAAAATATTGTACTGTGTTTGTCATGATTGCCATTGGTGTGCTCTAAATGGCTGTAAACAATTGCGCATGTTAAATAGTGGAATGTTTTCTGACTCAAGTTAAAATATATTCCCAGTCTGTTAAAAGAAGTCCAATTTCATATCTTCAGCTGTCAGGAGATATGTCTAATAAATAATACATCTTCTTTGCACACAAAATTTCTATGATCTTCACTCTCATGCATGTATTTGAATTAAAAGCTTGTCATTTATGTTCTGTTAATTTGAATAAGCTATTAATATATCTATCAAATCCTCAATGAATCAATGGCAAAGTTGTGCATTAATATTTTATTTTTCTCTCCCCTCTTCCAACTTACATACTTTTTGTTGTGAATATTTGATGTATGAAACTTGTCCATACCACACTTATTTACTCAGTTAAATGTGTATTTGTAGCAAAAATAAGTATGCTTATTATTAAAAAGTATTTTTTTAATTCATGCTTTAAATGTTTTATTGTACTTAAAAAATGAACAATAATAAGCATTATTATTTTTATGCATATTGTCAAGGACATGAATCACAAGTAACCAAAAGGTCCTTACACTCATGTCACTAGAAAGAAAAGATAATCACTTAAAATATGATATAACATTAAACTAGAATGTCCTTTGCTAAAGATAAAAAAACTAAAGATTCTTAAAACAAGACTAAAGATTAGAAAGGCATTGATAAAATTGAAGAAGACTTCACTCTTGCTTCTATATATATTATCTAACTAAGAGCTATGTGGCGATGTTGTATAGGACCTCTGATACATGTATAACTTGCAAGATAAGTTTCCTACATGTGAGTCACATGACCAACTTGTACCACAAGTTGTCAATATGTGGAATATGTGATCAACTTAATGGCCAAGTTTCTAACCTACTAATTGACTACAAATATGTATAAAGTCAAATCAAAGTCTATGAACCTTTTAAAAAACTTGTCACAAGATATTATGAAATCTACTTTTATTTATTTTTATCTAATATTTCTTATTTAGATAATTTATATATGTTTGTGATATTATCTCCCCACTTTTAAAGATGAGTTTGACAAAGAGTAGTGATAACATCTTGATTTTTTATTTTGGTTTTGATAAAAGACATCAAGCTTCATTACAATAATTACAAGATTCCTTGTTGGATCCTATGTGCATTCATTAATATTATATCCTCACCAATGTATAAGATATTTCAACCTATTTTGGGGCCGCCTTAAATCTAAGACTTCTTTGACTTCAAATTCTTAATTAATGTCCACCTCTATCAAAGGAGGTGGCATTTGTTTCCTTCCTAGTATATCTATTGTCTTATAAGGCTAAAAACAAGACACAAGGAATAGGTGATGGATTTTTATTGACTCTGGTTGTTGTAAGCAATAAACAATTAGATGAATATATTCATAAATAAGAACTAATTCAACTCTGCCATAATTCAATTTATCACAAGGACAAATGATTTTAATATTATGATGAAGTAATTATGTATTTTTACCAATGTGGTATTAAAGTTACTCTTTGTAATATGCATTTGCATTGAACTTTTGTTATTGTTAAAATTTCCTTAATTATACTTTTATTGTTGTATATAACTTTGATAAATAATTTACCAAATTTTTCAGTGTAAGATTATTAACTTTTGACAAGTCAAAAGTATTAAGTTATAGATGATAATCATAATTAATAAAGAAAGATATTTATTGAGTTGAAGAATGTATTATATTATTATAAGCAAACATTGCGAATACCAAAAGAGTTGTTTAATCATCTTGATGGTAGTTAATAATATACCTCAGATATTGGCCTAAAACTTCATTCATGAATTTTATTTATCCATTAGTTTAAAAATAAAAAATAAAAGATAATTTAATATATATTTTTAGAATCTTAAAAAAGGTTCTTTAAAATCTTGATATAAATTGAATCTTTATATCTGATATAATATCCTTTGTCAATCCATAATAGCAATAAATATTTTAAAGAAAAAGTTTAGTTATTTCTTCACATGTGATAGATTTTGTATATGGTACAAAATATAACATATTAGTAAAAAAATTTACTATCACAAATATAGAGTCATATAAACTTGAGATTGAAAGATCAATAATAAAATCCATAGTGATAGAAGATCAAGATTTTTTAAGTATAGATAGTAGTTGTAAAAATTCCTAAGGTCAATGACAAAGACTTTTTGATCTTAAAAAAATATCACATGATTGTACAAAGCCTTTGATTGCCTTTCATATTTAAGGCCACAAAAAAAAATAGATATTGATTCTAAAGTCATGTTGTATCCAAAATGCCATATAGGTAGAAAATTGTGATGAACTTAAAGAATACATAATTGTGTATTATCTTTTGGAATATATAGATAATTTTCAAAATAGAAGAGATTATTTTTAAATTCAAACTTAGAAGTATTATGAAACTTAAGGTTATTTTATTTTATTTTATTTTATTTTTTTAATATCATGAATAAGAGGATTGGAGGACATATTCAATTGAATGTGCTCAAGAAAGGTTGAATTAATAGTTAATATTGATTTCATTACCTAAAGTGTAATAATGATATATCTTGAGAAATCAATTTAAATTGTGTAAAATATACACTTTTCTATCTTGACATATAATCATGCATCTCTAAATATGTACTACACTTATAACATTTTACTTGGTTAAAAAAAAACTCTTTGTTATATTCTAAAAAAATCAAGACTATAAGAAATTCAATCTATTTAAACGTTATATTTTTTTCTAGTTATAGTAAACCTAAAATAACTAGATTAGAAGAAGATTCAATAATACTAAATATAATAAAACTATTATAAATATTAGTTGTTACTTTTATAGAAAGGATTTTATGGATAATATTTCTAGAAGATAATGGATGACCATCTATGATTTCTACATGTATTGATTTGGTTTTATTCACTAAAGATATGTTATGTCTTTTAACAAACTCTTCATCTAAAAAATAAATTAAGACTCTTGAATCTAGTAAGATAGAAGTTTTGTGATATTTAGAACATAAACTAACATCTATTATAGAATAAAGAGAGGGTTCTAAGAAGAGAATATGACCTTCATAAGGTGTTGTATAAGATTTTAGCCACATGGTTCTTATTATCAACTGTTTGATTTAATGTTTGAGAATCATGTAAATTTAACATCAATTTTTTTATCTCATATTGTAATCTACAGAAAAATTGACTAATGAGTGTAGCATCATTCCACTTAATATTACTTGTAATTTGTCTAAACTATAAAACATACAATGTTACAAATTGATTATATTATCACAAAATATAAATTTTGTTGGTTGTAATACAAATTATATTATATTTTCTATACATAGATAAAAATTTTGCCAAAAAATTCTCTAAATTATTTAATATTAAATTAAATCATTTAAAATAAAATAAAAAACTTGATAATACAAAATCTAAAAGTAATATTCAAATAATTTTAACTTGTGATTTTGGAGTTGGATAGCTTTTAGGTTGAAGTTCAATCACTAGTTATATTTGATTGTTGAATCCTTAAAATTTTGATTCTCTACTATTAAACTTCTCAAAAAAATAAATTTTTGGTTTTTTAATGTACAAATGGTATTCCACTATATGAGAAGTAATATGATTTGGTGTAGATATTGAAGCAGCTCTAATCATTTCTATATCTTCACTTCCTACCAATCTTATTGCTCTTTGTGGTGGTAAATTGAATTGATGCATTGCAAGTACTTACATTTGTACAATAGCACTTTTCATTTTATTAAGCTTTGTTATGATAACATAATAGAGAAAATAAAAATAAAAGAGAAGATTTGCAAATAAATGAAATTTTAAGAATAACATTAATTTAAAAGTGGATAATCTGTAATTTCTAATATACTTATGTATTATTAAAAAAAATGTTAATTCACTCTTAATCAAGAAAAGACAAAGCTATGATATTATAAATATATTCTTGTTAATTTTTTAGAAATAAGAACTCAATGAATGCAAATAAATATATATATATTTTTTTTTCTAAAAAATAAAAAAATAATAATATGTATACTAAAAAAAAATTGAAATTTCTATTACCAAAAAAAAATATAGATCCTTAAAACTAAACTTGAAGCAAAAAATGAAAAAGTGACAAAAGCCTCACTTATATTTCTATATATACTATCTAATTAAGAGTTATGTGGCAATGCTTTATAAAACCTTGTACACGTGTTCAACTTACAAGAGAAGTTTTTATATGTATACTACATATCTAACTTGTACAATAAGTCACCAATATATATAATATGTGAACGACTTGTTCATCAAGTATTCAATCTATTAATCACATATAGACACACATAAAGATAAAGTCACATCTATAAAGTCTCTAAGAAGATTTTTTATAAGATATTGTGAAATTTATCTATTTTATTTTATTTTATTTCATCCATATTATTTAGATAA